ATCAACTCTGCTCATATGTCCCTCCATCATGTTGACAGCCTCTGAAACACTGGAGCTTATATTTTGAATGGTGGATTCTTGTTTTTCCAGTGCCGCTAATGCCTTATTTGTTTTCTCCGCAATGTTTTGCATTGTTTCTTTTAACTCCTCCTGGTCTTTGCTTGTAACATCTTTTAATTCGTCAAGTTTGTCTTTCATCCATAGGAAATATTCAGTCACTCCTCTTTTAAGTTCTGTGTCAGAAATGTCCATGAGCCTTTCGGCTTTCAGGGTATCGGCTGCTCTTGTGTCATCTTTTGTGAGTGACATCTACCGCAAGATTTATTAATTGATTGACTATTGGCCCAGAAATTAAAGATATGAACAAGTCTATGTGTTTGAAGTAGAACTTGGCTGATAAAATAATGCATGTTATATATGATAGAAAAGTGAAAATATGCCATTGCTACTACTTCAAGTGTTCAGTAATTCTCTTCAGAATGTCTTAATAACCTAATTTGTTCTTAATGAATTGTTCCTCTCCTTGTTTATGATTATTTAATGCCTACTGATAATATAGGAAAGTGCTCTTTTTTTTTTTTTTTTTACCCTCGGAGGCTGTTTTGTTATATAGTACATGAGCTGGGAATGATCATAGAGAATTGTGATAGAGGGCAACCACTACAGTGGTTAGTACCGGGTGCTCATCCCAGATGCCATGAATGTGCTAAAAGTGCCTGCCATCTTCATTACGCTTTTCCCAGTGCTGCCCATCAGCTGCCGACCCCACATTCCAATCCTGAGATAAGAAAAGGCACCAGAGAGCACCCTGGTTATCATGCCCACAGCACAGCCCATCACAAAGCCCATCTTCATGAGGTCAAAGCAGCTTGGTTGCCACTGCCCATAGGGACCCATGGCCAGCAACATCTCTCTCACTCCATCAGTCCAAAAACTGGTTTTTCGAAGCAATCTCTAGGTCGTGTGGTAAGGTAAAATTAAAATCACTAGAACATTGTTTTCTTTTTTATCTGTTTTGATCATTAGTTTTATACTTTGTCAAATCCCCAATTAGTAGATGATTTTTATTAGGTCATGTAGGATGAAACATAGAATATAATAAGGACAAGTTGTCTTTTTAAACTTAAATACATAAAGAGATAAGGTTATGAATTAGCTATATCTGTTAAAATGGCATGGTTTATATTAGCTACACTGCAATCCCAAAGGCACGTGGTTTAAATCCATCAGCTGCTCTGCAGGAGAAGGATGGGCAGTGTCCTCCTGTGGGATTAACTGTCTCTGAAAACCTGCTAGGGAGTCCGCTAGGGGTCGTTTGTGGCTCGATGGTATACAACAACAAGTTCTATCAAGTATAAAAATGCATTTGTGTAATATAACTCTTGATCTCAAATTTATTTTGATAGGTTGATACCAAAGGTGTGGTAAAACGATCTTCTCCAAAACACTGTCAGACTGTCTTAAAACAATTGAATGAGCAGAGACTCTCCAACCAGTTTTGTGATGTTACTTTGTTAATTGAAGGAGAAGAGTACAAAGCTCACAAATCTGTTTTGTCAGCGAATAGTGAATATTTTCGAGATCTTTTTATTGAGAAAGGAGCAATTTCTAGTCATGAGACTGTAGTGGATCTTTCCGGTAAGATTTTCTTATATTCTTGGTTTTGTTCATTAAGTACACTCTGGAAGAGCGAGAATGTGTATAAATGCCTTTGTGTTTAATTAACTTTATCTTTGTAATTATATCATAAAGGAAAATTTCTGACCCTTGTTATCAAATCATTCTTGTCTCTTCATAACCTATTGCTCTTTCTTGTAAATTGTAAAATCAGCTCTAAACTTCCACCCCCCCACCCAAAAGAATATATTTTGATAGAAAGTGCAACTAAGGAATTTTATCCATAAAGGTCTTTTACATCATTTGTTAGATATATTCCAAGGAACTTTATCCATTTGATACTATTTTGTTTATTTATAAAATTATGCCTTTTTAGTGTATGTTGATTTTGTATACATTAATAGTACAGTGAAGATGAAACATGTATCTTTGAAAAGTCTGTTTAGATATTTAAAGTGTTATTTGGATACTCAGGTTTCACTCTGGAGCTTACTAGTCTTTGGTCTTTTACTAAAGATTTTCCAGGGTTTGAGCCATTATGAGTTAAACGGCATAAAGTGTTATTTGGAAAAATATTAATTTGTTCATGAGAAATTTTTCTTGTGATTTTGAACTTTGAAATTAAAAAGGTATTAATTTCTCCTCCATCTTCCCAAGGGTTGCTTTGGCTTTCCACGTTTAACAAAAGAGCTCTAGGATAAATTGTTAGATTAAAAAAGCAAGGTGCAGAATGGCATGCTCACCTGGTGATACTCTAAGAAGGGGAAATAAGAATATTTGCCTGACTCTTTCAATAAACCGGGAGGTTATATGAATTTTTACTTATACTGAGTATGGAAATGTTGTTGTTGTTTTGTGCCGTCGAGTCGCCTACGACTCATAGCGACCCTATGTACAACAGCCCTAAACTCCGCTCTGTCCTGTGCCAATCGCACTGTCTCTGACACTCCCATCCCAATTATC